AATTACTGTTTTGAAGAAAGAATAGAGAAGGGTGTCTTGAAAGATGGACTTCATGTTCTAGCCTGACCAGCACGTGAGCTCTTTCCCAACAGCTTTCTTGGGTAAAGGAGCGCAGGGTGATGGCTCTGCCCCAGCACTCCTGCCTCCAGTCCTGGGCCCCCTACGCCCACCATGTACGGCTGGCACTCTCCTGCCTCGGCCCCTCAGACTGTCCTGCAAGCTCAAACCCTGCCCATTCCTTTCACTCTTCCCAAATATCTGTCGCATCCCTTCTGCGGGCCCCATACTGGTCTAGCCCCTGAGGGGCCATCGGTGAAGAAGTCAGATGGTGTCCCTGCCCTCACAGGGCTGACACACAAGAGGGAGCAGACAACAAAGCCATCTGAGGGTCAGCAGAAGAGGCTGTTTAAGGTGGCCATGGGGCTGTGGGGACAGTACTGGGGGGCAGGTAGGAGTGGGGTGAGATGGCGCCAGGCAGAGAGACCTGCAGGGACCAAGGTGGGGGCAGAGGCAGGTATGGCTGCAGGGCCTCGCATGATGGGAGAGGGGAGGGAAGGAGAGGAGCCTGCGTGTGTGCGAGTAAACTGAGATATGGAGCTGGCTCTCACTCTGAAGGAGCTGAGGCCTTCAAGCAGAGGAATCAGGAGGGTCCCTCTGCCTGATGGCAGGTTAGGGGTGTCTAGGCTACAGGCGGTGGAGGACATTGAGGTGCCATGTGCTTCTAGGGATTCTTCTCCCCCCCTCTCATCAGGACTCCACTCTCCATCTGCCCCCTGTTTGGGCATTTAGTGTGTTCTGCCCTCTGTCAGAGGAGGGTCTGTGCACCAAGCTTCAGGGGGCCCACGAATCCCAGGAAGATTGGTACTGTTATCTGGCAAGTGGCCCCGTGGTATTTCTCTCATTCCCGGGGTGACGGTAAACTGAGGCTCCGGGCCAGTGGCATGGTGACAGGTTGCTCAAGGCCTGAGACAGGGCAGCCTTGGAGCTGCACATAGCATGACCCCAGGCAGATTGAGAAGGGTGGGGAAATGAGATCTGAAGAAGCATCTCCATGGTGGCCATAATTTTCATAAGAACATCAAGAAAATAAAATACAACCAAGACTTCCATGTGGCTTGGGGACACATGAGAGAGAACAGCACCAGGGCCAGGGTGGAGAGAGTGGGGGACCCTGGGGCGGGGGTGCAGGGTAAGAGCCCAAGCCTTGAGTCCTTCGGGTCTGGACCGGAATGCAAGTCTGGCTCTGCCACTTCCTGGCTTGGGGGACTCAGACCAACTCTTGGACCTCTCTGAGCCTCGGTTTCCTCTGTAAACTGGCAGTACATAGGATGAGGAGTTATGAGGAGTTATGTGCTGTGCTTGGCCCAGGTGGCATCGTGCCTCACAGCTCCCCATAGCGTGAAGCTGCAGGGCAGAGTCTGCAGTACAGGTGTGCCGTGGTGGGTCAGCTCCCCCTGCTCCTCCCCTCCCCTCCCCTCCCTAGCCTGGCACTTGTCAGTTCTCCGGGCAGGTTTCCTTGTCCCTGTCAGCTCCCATCCGGGGCCTCAGACATAAATTAGCTAAGGTCTCCTGTGAGCCGTCTGGACGCTTTGTGCCTTAGCCATCGATCGGCTATCTCTGGCGGGCCTGGGAGACGGCTGAGGAGCCTTGCTTTCTGCTGGTGCTCAGGGGCCAAGTCTGCAGGAGGCTAATTGACAATCCTGATCGGGTTTGGCAGGCCTGTGTTTTCTGCACTCTTCTCAAGTGGCTGGTTTTCAGGTCTCCACGAGTGCTGGGACCTCTCCCCCAGCCTCCTCCCTCCCTGGCCCTCCACCTTCTTGCCTGACTGTTCAGGTGGGAAGGGTCGTCTTGGTGCAGGTGTCATGCGAAAAGCTGCAGAGTGATGGCAGAAACAGAAGCCTTGCAGGGATGTGTGTTCCTGTCCCACAGCCTTGGGGCCTGGAATGAGACACCTAGCTCAGGGAAGCAGGGTCCCCCACTCTCTCCACCCTGGCCCTGGCGCTGTTCTCTCTCATGTGTCCCCAAGCCACATGGAAGTCTTGGTTGTATTTTATTTTCTTGATGTTCTTACGAAAATTATGGCCACCATGGAGATGCTTCTTCAGATCTCATTTCCCCACCCTTCTCAAACTGCTGCTAATTGGATACTTCCCTTAAGTCCCAAAGGAGCCCTGAAAGGGGCTTTCATGTCATGGCTCTAGGGGCAGACCATAGCTCAGGTGTCATCTCCCCTAGGAGCCTCACTCACCTACATAGACTGGACCAGAGGTGGGTCTCCTTTGTGCCCTATCTCCGTGGTCACGGTCAGGTGGGCTCACCTGTCATATTTGAAGTGCAGGTATCGGTCTTCTGTCTCATGTTCCTTTCTGTGAGGGTCCCCTTCATGGCTGATTAGACTGGCAGCCTCTCACATCTCACTTGGGAGAGACTTTGAGCCAAGTGGCACTGAGGCCAAGGGATCATGGCAGAGTACTGATAAAGGTTGTGAGCTTCTCTCCTGGGCTCCCCGAGTGGTTGCCCTGCCTGTTGGAGGTCTGAGGCTTTATCTTCTATTTGGACCCCATGTCCTGGGGCCCTGAAGAGCCCTGATCAGCTTGAACTAATCTGAGTTGGATCTTATTCCTTGTAATGAAGCGCACCTGACCCACCCTGTTTCCCTGCTCTGCGCTCCGTTTGTCCATGGCCAACCTTCCCTCCCCTGGCAGAAGTATCAGGCCAGGCTTGTAACCAGCCTCAGGAGGCTTCTTAATGGACTGGTCTGGGAGGCAGGGTCTCTGAGCCAGACTGCTGGGCACTGCTCTGGACACTGGAATGTGAACTGCAAGTTGATCCTTCTGGCTCTTTGGAGCTCATAAGCTGAAGGCTGGGACTGAGTAGTTCACTCTTCTTCCTATGTATAGGGCAGAGTGGCCCGTGTGTTCCTGGTCAAGGGCCCGGGCTGAGGGCCAGGGACTGTTGCTGCCTAGGTAACCCCTCCCCCCTGCCTATTTCTGCCTTCCCCATGTGGGGGCAGAGAGGAGGTGCCTTGGCCTTCAGGAAGCTCGTCATTCACCATGAATGGCTGTGGCATCTGTCCCTGAGGCCCTAGAAAGGCCTGAGAGTCCTGGAGAAGTAATGTCTCAGGAGACTGTAGCTGTGGCTGCCCCTTCCTGACAGCCGCTGAGCCTTAGTGAGAGCAGCCCCCACATGGCCCTTGGTGTGATTCCTACTCTGGGCTTGCCTTGCTGTTTTGATTGGAGTCTCAGTCTGCTCCTGATCTCAGCATGTCAGATGTATCTGAGCAGGTGTCTGGGCTCAAGGAGGGCTCTGAGCAAAAAAGCCAGCCTCCTGAGTGCTGGCTTAGAGGGGTCAGCTGTGCAGAGGGCTGTGGACAGCATGTGCCCTCTCGTCCAGCTGGGATTGGCCCTGCTCTCCTATACGCTGGGCTGCCCATGGCCCTCTAGCCCCCAGCCCCACATTGAACCTGCTTAGACCAGCCTGGGCTGCAGCCCTGCTGGGCGAGGGCAGCCCTGACTTTACAGGGCCTCAGCCTTCAGCCACTCTCAGAGCCAGGCCATGTCCCCATAGGAAATGGCCTTAGAGTCGCTGCCAGGCTTAATCATCCAGGCTTCTCCCAGGAGATGATGTTCTCCCTCGGGCATCCACGGAAGAGCTAGCTTTGTCTGCTGTGAGTGTGTCATCCAGGAGATGTGTGCTTGAAATTTTACCTGTCTCCATCCCAGAGGGATCCTCAGTTCTGTGTCCCACCCCCTTGCAGCTGCAGGGTCTGGCCTGGTGCTGGGTGCAGAGCAGCCCTCAGCCCCTATAGCAGCCCCTGGGGCGTGTCCCTCTGTGCCAAGGTAGGAGCAGAGGCTCAGATGCAGGCCAGCAGGGGCCCCCAGCCAGCAAGCCAGGAAGCTGGGGCTTGCACTTTTGCCAGAAGTTGTGACTAGGGGGACTGTTTCATAAGTTCAGCCTGACCAATACTGAGCACAGTGGGAGCAGGTGAGACAGGCTTGCAGGCTGAGATGTGAGAAGGCATTAAGCAATTGGGACGCGAGGTGATAAAGACCTGGCACCAGGGGTGAGAGAGGCAAGGAGGGGGCCTGAATGGGGGTGGGGAGGAGTACTGATTGGCTGGGGGTTGAGGGGGGAGATGGGTGCTGTGGAAAAGAGGAGGGTCTGATGTTGGGCTGTCCAGCTTCCAGTCCCAGCTCTGCCCCCTGCTGGCTTCTCCCTTGTAAGACAGCACTGTCCCAGGTGCTGGGGTGAGATGGTCCTGGCGTGGGAGCCTCTGTGGGAAAGACCTGAGAGGGGAAGGTGGCAGGCCAGGCAGCCGGTGGGGAAGGGCTGCCCTCTGAGTCAGTGAGAAGGCCCCAGAGAAGGCCAAGGCAGCCAAAAGCCCACACCCAGCCTCTCTCGCTGCCCCGGAGTCCCACAAGGGCTAGCAGGCTCTTGTTCCCACCTTACCGGGCCCCTGGGCCTGGATTACAGGAGGTACCATTGCCCAGAGAGCACTGGCCTGAGCACTATGGGTGGAACCCCCGTCCCTTCCCAAGCACTTGGGCCCCTGGCATCCCACAGGGACCAGCTCTTCCAAGCCTAAGGTGGCTGTGTCGCCAGCTGTGAGGAATACTGCTGACACCCTGACAAGTCAGGGCTGACCCTTTGGGCCAGCGGGGGTCCCCCTGACAGAAGGCGGGGCACTGGGTCCATGTAGCAGCTTTTCAAGGCCAGTCCGGGCCAGGGGTCCCTGTCTGTGCCCTTCTGGGGCAGTCTGAGGCCACACTCTCCTAAGTCAGCTATGCTAGGCAGGAAATCAGTTCCGGAAATGTACCCCACAGCCAGATGATCAAAGCCCGCAGCCAGAGCTCCCTGGAGCTGCGGGATCGGTGTCTGCAGGAGCCGCTGCTCATCGCCGCTCTGCCAACGCAGCCGGGAAGGAGGGGACTGCCTCCCTTCCCCGTGGGCGCCGCGAGCTGCCCACACACTCACTTCCAACCTACTTCTTGTTTCCCCAGAACCTCCAGTGGGCCCGCGACGTGTTGCTAGGCAGCAGTATCCCGTGGCAACAACTGCAGCACATGCCGGCACAGGGGCTCTTCTGCGAGAGGAACAAGACCAATTTCTTCAACGTGAGTACTTTGCCTTGTTGATTTCCGAGGCTGCTTGCTGCCCTGCTTTGCACCAGAGGCGTGCGAATGGCCCCCCTGGGCGGGCGTTCCCAGGACCACGGCTTTGCGGCATCCTCAGAGGGTGGGCAGGGTGGCGCAGTCGAGAGTGCGCCAGACTCGGGAGTGGGGCCGTGCCTGCCGAGCCACTTCTGCAAGTCGCTGCCCCCTCTCGGCACTGGTTTACCTGTCTGTGGGGAGAGGCATGGATGGGCTCAGTGTGTTCTCTGGAGCCCCAGGTAATCTGGGGCCCCAGCAGGAAGTGGTGAAAGGGTTTCCAGGCTCATGGTCTGCTTCTCCTGGAGCAGCGCCATGTGCCCTCATGTGGTCTTGGGTGCCTAGGAAATTCTGACTGAAGCTGGGTCTACTGCTTAAAAAACAAGTTTGGCCAGTGCTGGGCTTTCAGTACCCTTCCAGCCTTGACATTCTGGATAGGGTAGAGACCCACCTCTTGGCCAGGACATGGCCTGTCGCCAAGGCCTGTCTGCTTTCCATCCCTGAGGCCCCCTAAAGCCCACATCTACCCTTCCTGGCCACCCCACCCAGGCCCATCCCTCCCTCATTTGCTCTGTCCTGCACAGAGACAGCGGGCCCCTCGCTCTGCTCCACCAGCAAGTCCTCATCCACCCCTCCCAGCACAGCCAGCTCCCAGCTGGGTGTCTTTGGCAAGTTACCCAGACCCTCTGAGCTTTGGTGTCTTCTCTGTTTTCCCTGATGCCCTGTTACTTGTCAGGAAACTGAAGGGTGGGGTTGGCCTGGACAGGAGCTGAGGAGAGCAGGTCTTGGGTCTGGAGGCTGGTTCTCGAGGCACATGGCAGTGGGGCCCTCCCCACTGAGAGCCAGCCAGGCGCCGACGGGTCTGGGTCCCATGGCTCTTCTCTCCTGGGCTCTGACCTTCTAGTGGCTAGGCAGGGGCCATGGAGCCTAGGAGCTCTGCCTCTGCCAGCACTCCCCTCCCCGGGTATTTTATAGACAAGCAATAGATGTAACCTCTAACCAGTCTACACAATACCAAGGGTTTGCAGAGAAAGGGTTTGCAGATGCCCAGACCGCAGCCACCATCCCTCAGCAGCCACTGTTCCTCATCCTGTGTGTGTCCTTCCAGAGGGTGTCTGCCTGTTTATAAGCCAGGGCACAGACATGTACACAAAGGACAAAGTACACGTGCTTCTGACTTCTGTTGTTGTTGGTTTTTTTTCTTTTTCACTTAAAAATATATCTTAGAGAGTGTTTAAGAACTGGTTCTGTCTTTTTAATAGCTGCATAGTATTCCCAACATATGGATTTGCCACAGTTTACCTCCCCATACCCTACCTATTGATGGGCATTTAGATGGTTTCCAGTCTTGTTATTTCCGTGTTTTGTGTATACATCTTTGCTATGTGGAAATCCATTCATAGGATAAATTCCTAGAAACAATTCCCTGGTCAAAGGGTTTGTGGTGCTTTCAAGTTTTAGAAGATAGTACCCTCCAGAGATCCAGCCCACATTCCCAAACACAGATTCATTTTTTTCAGACCTCTTCTACACTCTGTCTTACTTAACTGTTACATATTTGCTCTTCAGTAGGTGAAAAATGCTATTGTGTCTCATTTATTATTAGTGAGATTGCCCGTGATATCACACTAACAGTTTTAATTTCTTCTTCTGTGCCATTTCTGCTCATGTCAATTTTCTTTTTTTTTTTTTTTTTAAAAGATTTTATTTATTTATTTGAGAGAGAGAGAGAGAATGAAAGACAGCATGAGGGGGGGAGGGTCAGAGGGAGAAGCAGACTCCCCGCCTAGCAGGGAGCCCGATGCGGGACTCGATCCTGGGAGTCCAGGATCATGACCTGAGCCGAAGGCAGTTGCTTAACCGACTGAGCCACCCAGGCGCCCCTCATGTCAATTTTCTTACTAGATTGTTGATCTTTTTCTTTTTGATTTATATGAACTCTATATATTGATGAAATGGGCTGTCAGTGTTGTGCAAACCTTTTTTTCTGTAGTTTCTAAATTGAAGTTAGAGCCAGGCAGCTAGCTAGTTTCCCTGAGCTCCTTTATCAAACGAGCTACCGTTAGTACCTGCCTTGAAGAGTAATTGTAGGGATCAAGTTATATAATGGGATAATGACCCTAATTCAGGATCTGGCTCATGGTAGGTGCTCAAGAATACAGTTTCCCTCCCTCTTCCCTCTCCCATTGTTGGTATTTGCCCTCAAAGACTATACAGTAACGTTGGAAGGAGAGAGCCAGTCTCCCTCTCTTCCTCATAGGTGGAGTGCTTACCCTTCCTAATGATAGAGTTTAGGAGACCAGCACCTCAGATGCCTGTAAACCCAGGGCACGTCTGAGCTGGCAGCCGGGTGCTTCAGGCCCTTTCCCCATTGGGCTCACTCCCCGTAGCAGCTCTTGTGGTTCCTGGGGCCTTCCAGAAAATGAGTTCTGCAGAAGGACAGTCAGGCTGTGCCTGTGGGAGAGAAGGCGGCAGTGCCTGGGTGAGCCTGGCACCTGGGCAACACCTCCCCGTAGCCAGTAGCCCCTGCAGATACAGGCCACCCAGCCTGGACTGGATGATGTGGGTGGTTTTAGCTCCGCTGTGTCAGCTATTTCTCCATGCTTCCCAGTGACCTGCTGCTTTTACCACCCCCAGGCCCTCTCCAGCCCAAGTCCTGGCCATCTCTGCTCTCTCGGCTCTTCTCTTTGGAGGTGCCTTGGGGCTCCTCGTGCTTCTCCAGCCCGAAATGTTAACCTCTGGGGTGGAGGCCAGACACTTGCACCCCTATTTGTGAAGTGCCCAAGGGACAGGTGCTCCCAGCTGCTTGTGACAGGATGGCCCTTGCTGAGTGCCCCCCCCAGCCCCCCATCCTTGCCATTGCTGCAGGAGGACCCTCAGGGTGGACACTTCCTCCAGCCCTGCCTCACACCGAGAGAGTGTTGACCCTGTGTGCTCTCAGTACAGGAATTTGTTTAGCAGGTGTGACCAAGTGTGAGGAAATGGTTTTCTGCCACGTTTACAGAGGAGCATTTAGAGCCCCCTCAGCTGACTGCTGGGATGGGGCCATGGCTCTGACAACTGGGGCTGTAGGTCGGGAGGAACAGGCTGGCTCTTCTCCCTTCTGCTGTGCATTGGGGTTTACTGCTTCAGCCTGGGGGGGGGCAAAGGCATGGGGCTGCTGGCCCTTGTGAGGAGGTACAGGGAGGGTGAGGGTGGGGGCTCTAGGCACCCTGACCTGCCATCCCTCAAAAACCCCACTGTCCTGGGCCACCCATGCCACCCAAGAGGCTGTCTGGACAGCCCCCCTCATCATCCTCAAGGGCCCGGGCTAGGGGACCCTCCTGTTATTGATAATTTCTGAAAATTGTGTGAGTCTTATAGGGCCACACATTGTCCCTGCAAACAGTCCTGACACACAGTGGGGCCCAGGTGCCACGGCCTTCTCAGAGGTGCTTCTGTGCGTGGTTGGGCTGTTCTCTTATCTTAGGTGTGTGTGTACAGAATCAGACAAGTTTGTTGTGCAGCTGTACAAAATTGTGTGTGCTCACACCCGCGAGCTTTTCAGCAACCTGGGGTTGTTTTTGTTGTTTTTTGAGGGTTTTTTTTTTTTTTTTTTTTTGCTGACATTAAGTCTGAGAGAAGTTTCCCTGTGAGGGCACAGGCCGTCTCACTCAGCTCCCTCCCCAGTATTGTGCCGTGGGAGGGCCACGGTCTCCTTGAGTGGGCACATATGTGGGGCCTGGCTTTGTGCTCACAAGGAGGCTGCAGCAGGCCTCCCTGTGCCTGTCTCTGTGCCGTGTTCCTCTTTGAGGCCCTAGCTGTCCCAGCCTGGCCCAGAGAGGTGCTCACTGTTTATGGACTGATTCCATTCGTACCTTTTCCCTTAACAGCTGGTCTCTAGGCACATCCTCCGGGTCCAGCCAGTGCTGGTTGCTGTGGTGCCCGTGCCCCAGGATGCTTGCAGGCTTGCAGTAGAGCCCTGCACACGGGTCCCTCCGTGGAGGGCCTCTGTAGGACACCGTGGGGCACGTGGGAGAGTCGGGGGAACTCTTGAGTTTGGGTGTGCTGGAGGCAGGGTTCCCACTGCAGGGCGGGTGCCGCCCGGCCAGGAAAGGGCCAAGAGATGGAGGCCAAGGTTAGAGGCACCCTCAGGGGGAGCTCCTCAAGGCTGGGCCGTGCCTGAGGCAGTGCTGGCTGAGCCTTCATGGGGCGGGTGAAGAGCCAGACAGAGGGATGCTGAAGGGCGGGTGAGTGTGACCTGGGGCTTTGATGGCAGCCCTCCTCACGGGAGCTCTTGCACATGGGGCTTAGCGGGCCTGCTGCACAGCTGGCTGGGGCCCCGCGCAGCATAGACGTGGCGTGTAGCAGGGCGCAGCAGTGCGGTTGGATGAGCATGTGAGGGAGAGAGGAATGAACTTGGCACATCTCCAGTCCCACTGTTCCATAACTTGGCTGCGAGGGAACAGTTCCCAGCCCACCCCCTTCCTCCGCCGTGGAAAATCCCTGCTTGCGGGCTGTGTGCCGAGCAGGTTGGAGCTCCTGGGCCATGGCTCGTGCTCCAGAGCAGGCCCGGGCCCCGGCTGAGGGCCCCATTACCTCAGCCCTCTCCCACCGGGCAGAGCAGTCTGGTCTTTGCCAAAACAGAGCCAGGGTTGTTGGACGTTGTTGGTTGAGGTCCTGCGGCCCTCCCTGCCCCAGCGGGGCCTGGCCTGGGCCCCGGTGCCTGTTTCTTCACAGCATCGGGCGGGACTGGCGCGCAGGCGTGTGGCTGTGTGATTCAGACGTGGCTCCTCAGGCCAACTGTGCAGAACAGGGAGCAGGGAAGACAGGGAGGCCTGGGGCTGGGGCTGTGAGGTGGGGATTGGGCCTGGGGTCATATGAACCCTCCTGAGCCAGTGCCCAGCCCTGAGTGGGCTACGGGGGAGGGGGGAGCAGGGGGCTGTCCCTCTCTGGGCAGAGGGGGCCAGGAAAGCAGGCTCCAAGCA